GAATGTTCTCACATTCCACAACCACATCTCTGGGAAAGGATACTATTACTCTTGAGGTCTCTGTGGATGATTGACTTGGCATGCAAATAACTGGAAAGGAACATCATAGGTTAGGTGGGTTAGATTTCACTAATCAACAACCCAAAATTCACTGTATTACTGAAAAATTCTGTAGATATTCAAACTGCACATATTTATCAAAGTGGCAAAACTTCAGTTACCCGTGACAGTTCCTGCAACAGTCACAGAAAAAAAACCCCACCACCACAAACCCTCAAAACACCCCCAAACCCAAACAAAAAACCCCCCCGAAAATAAAATAAAGCTTAAATTTCCAGCTCAAACCTGATGCTACTGAAGAATGAAATAGCTGAATTTCACGAACTTCTGTTTTTCAGTTCTAACTCAACATTCAAAACAAAAATAAAAGAACTTCAGTACTCTTTGACATGCCATTCAGTGCTGAAAGTTCTGCCTCCCAGCCTTAATGGTGACTGTCAAGACACCTTGTGGGCTAGCCACAGCTTTAGGAAATGTGCAGGAGCTAACTGTGCTTCCAAGTCTCAGTGTGTACTCAAGTATGCTGACTGCCTTTTAGTATGGGACTGGAAAAAAGGTCCCCTGATTGCAGACTGGATAAATAGGTTGCAGGGAACACAGGAGAGTACTTGCCCCACAGCATCGTTAGAGTTGAAATTAGGCAACCAGTCCCCCACAGCTCTTGGTTTAGGCAATGAGATTGGCACAAACCTGCTGGAAAAGCCCCAGTTTGTGTCTCTGCTTTAAATCACACTCATAAACCAACTTCGGCACCCCCACTGCCTACAGAGGGAGCCTGGGGAGACGAGCAGGCTAGCTGAAGGCTGAGGCTGGCTGCTGCGAACGCTTCCCCACCTCTTGACGGAAAATGTAATAGAATGCTTAGCAGAAAAATGGCACAATTAACTTCAATCATCACAGCAGTTTTCCAGCTGGAGGGCGATTTCTCTGATCTTACATCAGTGTTCTGATTTTGACACGCAATATTGGGCTAGTTTAGTAAATTCTATCTCACTCAATTGCCCTCTATGGGAGTAAGGATTACTTGCAGTCTTCAGAACAAAATAGGTATGTTTTCTTCAAATGCCAAAATCTATTATTTAGAGAGCTACAATACTTGTAAGAAAAGGAGAAAAAAATCGATTCTTTTTGCTAACAGGGCCATCTGCCTTCTGTGTTATCTTACAGGATTCTGTCCTTTCGTTCACAGGGTGTTTCTTTTTAAACTGTTTTACTTCCTACAATAAGACTATCTGTGCTGTGAAGACCATGAAGCCCAGAACAGAAAACTTGGCTCACAAGACTGAAAGTTTAACTACGATTTTATCTTTATTTTACTATCCAAGATTGTATTTCCTTGATTTGTACTTCCCTGTGTTCCAAAAAAGGAACATGAAGTCTATTTTACTCTCAAAATAATAAAGGCCGAATGCTTTGACCATCAAGGCCGGACCCTTGGCTTGGCAGGGAGAGCAGACAGCTGGCCTTCTTTGCCAACGTCAGTCAGAGTGTGAAGGGGATAAGTAAACACTGCCTCAACACTCACTTGCAAACAAGGAACACGATACTTACTCCATGCCTTGTGCAGTCTGTCGTGCAATATCAATTAGTTTGATCATTTCAAATTTGGTCTCAATGATGTGTAGATGGTGATATAAGCTGGACCCCTCACACCATTGTGTAACAATAGCCAGCTGGGGTTTTGTTGAATAACCCATGAAAAGCAGGATATTCACATGTCGCGTTTTCCTGTTGTAAAAAACATAAACCAGGAGGAAGTCAGGTGGATCAGGAAATCAGGGAAAACCCAGGCAGATCTATGACAGTCTAAATACCTATTTCCAAACAAACGGTGTTGGGTCAATCTCAACATTCACTAAAAGAACAAGATGACCTGTTGGCAGATTCAGTTTCATGAATTATTCCAGCAGTTAGCCTTCCTTATCATAAGGACATGGAACAGCTATTCTGGGATAAGCACTGCTTCCTCTTGCTTTTGCAAGAAACCCAGCACAGGACTGCTTGGAAGATGCTGTTACCACTAGGTGCCCATGGACAGCAACAGTTTGCAGGCAGTTCTGCTTTTGTGTAATCCCAGTCCAGCTATGAGATGTTGCTGCCCATAACGAGGACATCCAAAACAAAATGCCAGTCTCAGAAAGGACAGAAAAGGTTGTCCTCCTTCCAGAAAGGACAACCCTTTTGTTCAGAAACCACCAACACACTTGCTTGACAAGGCTTCCGTTTTTCTTAGTGTTTTATTTGACAAGAAGTTTGTACTCTCTGCGGAGCCAGCATACAAGAAAGGATGGAAACAGGTATGAAAACTGTACCTCAGTACAGTTATGATATGAACTTGTTTCCAAACAGCACTGGGAGAGAGTGGAGTTCACCACAGAGATTTGGCCAGATTAAATCAAACCTCTTTCAAAGACAGAGGAACTCCGGAGAGAAAAACTTCACAATGGACAGAGAAAATTACCTCAGTAGATATCCCAGTAGATGCAAGGCCAGAAAGAATCTACTGATTTACTGTGAAATCTGAAAGATTCTCCTCACCCCTCACCCTGCAGGAAAAGTCAATCCTATTCATCAAATGGACATGAAGAACTAGGTATCTCCAAACACACCAATGACAGATTACCAAGATGAGTCACCTAAGAATTCTGGGGTATTTCCTAGCTTTCCCAGAGGCTGAGGAAAAAGAAAGGCAATCTTCTTCCACCACAGCTCGGTACTGAAGGCAGTCAGCTCACTGGTGATGAAACCTGACAGACCAAGCTTAGAACCTGTGGTAGCTTTTTTAATCTATGCTGCTGAAGAAGATGGCAGAGCTCTTTATCTTTTCTTATAATAACAAAAAAAACCCCCTAACATGGGAACCTAAAGTGTGAACCCATTTGTCCTCTCAGCAATGCAGACCAAGTTGTACACTTCATGACTCTGACTTTTCAGGTCCAAGGATCTGTCAAGTGACACTGAGAGTGACAGCTGAGTGCACAAAAAATAAAAGGTATAATGGAAGAGGCATAACTACAGGTAAACCTGTGTGCTGGTTTTAGTCAGAAGAAAGTTAACTCTCTTCACAGTGGCTGGTATGAAGCTGGGTTTCTGGATTTACCATGAGAAAAGTACTGATCAGGTGCTTTTTACACAGATTCGCACACAGAGTGGAATGGGTTGGAAGGGACCTCTAGAGATCATCTAGTCCAAACCCCTGCCAGAGCAGGATCCCCTAGAGTAGATCACACAGGAACAAGTCCAGGCGGCTTTGGAAAGTCTCCAGAGAAGCAGACTCCACCTCTCTGGGCAGCCTGTTCCAGTGCTCTGTCACCCTCACAGGGAAGAA